TATATCTATCTATCTATCTATCTATCTATCTATCTATCTATCTATCTATCTATCTATCTATCGGGCGATGATGTAATCTCTGTGTTCAATTTATTCACATGGCAGCGACAATTTATTCCTTCTTCTATCGTGTTAGTCTCCGCTTCTTTTCCTTCTTCCTTTCCCTAACTTGTAGCTCTCTATCCAGTACACACCGTTTCATCAATGTATTCCTTTCTCTATCGTGTGGGTCTCCCCGTCTTTTCCTGTCCATCTCATACATGCGTATTTCCAGAATCATCTCGGTACGCCTTCGCGTGCACGTAAATGTGCAGATTATGTCGATTGTCTGAGCCTGTCTGGCCATATTTGTGTTCATGGGTTGTTCTTTCTTTTTTTCGTATGTTTGCGTGCATACATTCTCCAGTCATTTGCTTGGGTTTACCGTCCGGAATGAAGAATGCCGTGTGTCTTTTGTGGCTCTCTGAATGTCCAGGATTTCTGGTAACATATTTTGGGTTGTAGTGATCGTATATAAAGACAAACTGACTTTTACTATATTTTTACGTCTCTCGTTCTCACTTTGTCTTTTTTTCCCACCGAAACTCTCACCCTCCCTGTTTTTTTTCTCTTTCTTTATTTACCCGTACGTACATTCTTATCTTTTCCTCACCTTGTCTTTCTCATCTATCGCACATCTTCCAGCTCTTTGGAAAGGGGGGGCTCCAGTGGCTAAGTGAGCAGTGAGCGAGTTCAGACTCAAAAAAGAAATGTCAAGCAAGAGCCAGGGACACGGGGATTAGATAGGTGGTTTCTGTCGGTGTGTCCTTTTGCAAGGCACGACAACGGAAGCTCAAAGGGCGCTGCACAGTGACCAGCAATGGCATGTTTGTGAAATTGTTCTGTCTTGGTTTAATATTGCATATTTATGTATGCATTTATTTATGTATATTTAAATAATTATATATGATTATGTGTTTTTGTTTGTATGTTTATCTTTGTAACCCAAATTTCCCCTATGGGATTAATACATTATTATGATTATGATTACGATGATGATGATGATGATGATGATGATGATGATGATGATGATGATGATGATGATGATGATGATGATGATGATGATTTTTAGCATTATTACACCAGTCCCGAAGTGCTCCAAGCGTTTGTTCAGTCTGAAAAGTTGTGAATCGTCCCAAACTTTGCTATTGTCGAAAAGCCTGTAAAACACCTATCATGGGCTTTAAAATGCAGAAGCAAAAAAGAACTGTCGAAAATTTAACTGGCAAGGGATGTAATCTTATTATAACTATTTTACACTGTTTACTCTTACAGATGATAGCTGGCAGAGGTCCGGGTTCGTCTCCGAATGATGTCATCTACGACACGCCCACAAGCCCCGCCCCTCTGTCGGACGTGAGCGAAACCGCCAGCAGCAGTAGCAGCACGCCCTCCTCTGGGGGACACCACTATCAGCACATCGGCAACAGCAGCAGCGGTAGCAGCAGCCATCAACATCACCTCAACCACCACCACCTCCTCCAACAGCAGCAGCAGCAGCAGCAGCAGCAGCAATACCATCACCAGCAGTGGCCCGGCCAGGCCCAGCCGATGAGCGGGGGCCCCCTCATCCACTACCAGCAACACCAGCACGTGCCTTTGAGGAGCTTGTCTTCCCCGAGCCCCGTTTCCAGCCCCACCTCACCGATCCCGGTGCCTTCGGCGGCCGTCTCCTTTTTCGCTCGGTGAGTTCCGAATTGTTCACGACATACATGGACTCACAGTGACAGACATACTGATAGGGAGGCTGGCAGACACTCACCACACTCATACACATACATACACACATACACACACGCGTACACACACGCATGTTCACACATTTGTACATGCATTGTGGTCATTCACTTGCAGAAAAAGGGAGAGAGAGAGAGAGAGAGAGAGA